GGGGCAGCCATTTAAATTTAAATGAAGCCGCGATTATTTTAATCGCGGCTTCATTTCCCTCTTCGGATCTCGCTAATCTACATGCCTCCGTCGAAGGAGGCATGTAGTCTAGACACACCCCAACTGACTAACCTTCTTCCAGCCCTGCCCCCCAGCCAGGGCAGCATTCCACCTTCCTTTGTTCTTCTCCATGGGGGGTGTCTGGCCATACTGGTTTGCATAGTGACTCATCCTGTTTTGCTGGGTCGTGGTACCCATGGCAGCCAGGGGGGGTTACCCCAGAGCCAGCAGCATAGAAACCAGCCAGGTACCCCCACTACGTCACAGATGGATAGGAAAAGTGCTGGGCTTTTCAGAACATCCCAACATTTGGAGCCTAGAGGTTACACTTGGCTAGCTAGGGGTGTTGGCAGGAAGCCAGGAGAGCCATTGCGAGAAGGCGTTTGAAATGAAAGGAATACCTGCCTGCTCTTCTTCTTTGTATGAGTTGTAAGCTGGGGTTGGGGGAACAAGCTGAATTGAATCAGGCAGAAATGTCATGCCTACAAAGACTCCTGGGCATGTCAATGGACTGGACCTTGAAGCATGGATCCTGAATAGATAGGAAAATGTCTATGTAGACATGATCAGGTTATTTTCTTTGTTTTGTTCTTTGGTTAAATTTCTTTCCCCTCCCCACTTGGCAATGGAGGCACCTGGCACATTTGGAACGTAGGACAGATAAGAGGGGGCCCTGGAGATAAGGAGTTTGGGGGGTTCATCCAGTGGTGCAGAAGATAAGGTACCTGCCTCTGGAGCCAGAGGTCAAGGTCCAAGTCTGTGGGGTAAGTAGACTGTAGTGGGTTATTCACCTAGGCTATGTTTGGACTGCATCCCTTTTCCGTAAAAGGGATGCAAATTAGACACGTCGCAATTGCAAATGAAGCAGAGATTTAAATCCCCCTGCTTCATTTGCATAAACATGACTGCCGCTTTTTTCCGGCTCGGAGCTTTGCCGGAAAAAAGCGCCAGTCTAGGCACGGATCTTTCGGAAAATAAAGCCTTTCCTCTTAAAATAAGGAATTGTAATGTGTCTAATTTGCATCCCTTTTATGGAAAAGGGGTGCAGTCTAGACACAGCCCCCTGCATTTAAGAAGAAAGGGGTTACTCACTTTATGGGTGGCAGCCTATCACGCAAGGTCAGGGAATCTGTGATTTTGGGGAGGTTTTCTAAGCACACAGCGTGGTAATTAAGGTCTCTTGCGGTCCCTGACTTTGTACACCCAGAGTGCCAGAGTGGGGAACAACTTTGCCATTTTTCAGAGTGTAAAGAAAGTACAACCACCTGCACCCATGAGAACAGCCTCCATTCCTGTATGTGGTGTCTCACATTCACATTGTGTCTCCATCCAGGCAGTTACACTGTGCCGATCGCCCTAGACTTTGGACGCATCCACAAACTCCACGGAGCAGCTGGTTCAAGTCAGAGACAACGTTCTGCCTTAGAGTTGAATTGCTTCTCCTTCCCCGACTCCATGACGGATACCAACACAACTGCTTTCACCAACCCCTCGACTTTCATCTTACTGGGAATTCCTGGTCTGGAGGTGGCCCATGTCTGGATCTCCATCCCCTTCTGCACCATGTATGTTATAGCCATCCTGGGAAACTTTGCCATCCTGTTCATTGTGAAGAAGGAATCGAGTCTCCATGAGCCCATGTACTATTTCCTCTGCATGCTGGCAGTCACCGACCTGGTGCTGGTCACATCCACCCTGCCCAAAATTCTGGCAATCTTCTGGTTCAATTCCAGGGAGATCGATTTCAGTGCCTGCCTCGCCCAGATGTTTTTCATTCATGGCTTCACACAGGCTGTGTCCAGACTCCATGCCTCCGTCGACGGAGGCATGTAGATTAGCCAGCTCGGAAGAGGGAAATGAAGCCGCGATTAAAATAATCGCGGCTTCATTTAAATTTAAATGGCTGCCCCGATCTGCCGATCAGCTGTTTGTCGGCAGATCGGGAGAGTCTGGACGCGATGCCCCGACAAAGAAGCCTTTCTTCATCGACACAGGTAAGCCTCGTGAAACCAGGTTTACCTGTGTCGATGAAGAAAGGCTTCTTTGTCGGGGCATCGCGTCCAGACTCTCCCGATCTGCCGACAAACAGCTGATCGGCAGATCGGGGCAGCCATTTAAATTTAAATGAAGCCACGATTATTTTAATCGCGGCTTCATTTCCCTCTTCCGAGCTGGCTAATCTACATGCCTCCGTCGACGGAGGCATGGAGTCTGGACACAGCCACAGATTGCATCGGGGATCTTCATGGCCATGGCGTTTGATCGCTACGTGGCCATCTGCCACCCCCTGAGACATTCCACCATCCTGACAAACTCTCTGGTGATGAAGATTGGTCTGGTCATTGTGTTGCGTGGCAGCATTCTCGCACTGCCCTATCCCATCCTGGCGAGGCAGTGGCCATATTGCAAAACCAACATCATCGCCCACACTCAATGTGAGAACTTGGGTGTGGTGAAGCTGGCCTGTGCCGATACCCGCGTCAGTAATTACTACGGCATCTTTGTGCTATCCTGTAGGTATGGTGTGGATGTGTCTTTTATCACCCTGTCCTATATCCAGATCCTCAGGGCCATCTTCGGCCTCCCCACAAAGGAAGCCCGGCTCAAGACTTTTGGGACTTGTGGCTCACACATCTGTGTCATATTAGCCTTCTACATCCCAACTCTGTTTTCCTCGCTGTCAGCCCGTTTGGGTGACAATTTGCCCCGTCATTTCTATGTTTTGTTTGCTGATCTGTATGTCCTGGTTCCCCCCATGATGAACCCCATCATCTACGGCCTGAGAACCAAACAGATCCGGGATAGGTTCCTCCAGCTCTTTAATCCTAAGGGGACTAAAGTTTTCTCCTCGGGTTGTGGGTCTGAGACAGAGCACCGTGGAGTGCTGTCTGGTGACATGGCACTATTTCCTGAATCACTGACTGGCCAATCAAAGAAAGGTTGAATAAGTTTCTTACTTTAGTGTGTGTTTTTTAGCATAACATATGTGGAATCCATCTATGTCCAACTCGTAAGGTTCCCACCTTTCTAAATGTATTTCTAATTGTACCTGGACATGCCAGGTCCTGCCCTTGTCCCACTTTCTTCCTCAGAGCCCAGATCCACATCTCCCCTTGAAACCCCAGACACTTCTATGTCTTGTCCTTCAAGGCCCCATACTGCTGTCTTGCTCCTCTTCTGCCCCCTTTCACTGCTGGAATCATCTGTGTGATGGGTCCCCCCGGGTGCCACGTGGAACTGAGGTACAGGTGGCCCCATGCCAGCCAAATGCACTACCCGTTGCACAGGGATGTGGAAAGCTGCAAAGCCCTGCAAGCTGCCCTTACGCCAACATTTATCAGTAGCGAGCTCACCCAGCTGTGTTCCTGAATGCTCTGGGAGTCCATCAGGGGACAACTGTAGAGAGGCTACAGCCCAAATTCTCCGTGCTCCCCAGCCAAAGTCTCCACAGGTGAACTGTCCTTCCCTGGTGAAACCCTGACCAGTAAGAATGTGCTATCTTGTGCATCCCTTCTACAATAGATTGTGAGAGTGCACCAGCTCTTGGTCATAACCTGAGACTTTCCCCTTTGCAGTTCAGACATTGTACAGTCCGCTGGGTAACACAGACAACAGATCTATTAGCGACACAAGGAGAGCTTTGCAGGGAAGGTGGGTGACAGCAAAGGGATGAAATTTGATTATAATAAGAAATAAAACAACCCCCCAATCTCAGACTCCAGAAAATCATGCAGGGGATCCTCAAGGAATCCATTTCGAAGCTCTTGGAGGAAAGGAAATTGATCAGTCACAGTCAACGTGCTCACCGGCCATCATGGCTCCATTGCAGGTAGAAGCTCTGGGAACAGGCGCTCTCTGCTGCAGGAGAAGCAGACCCCACACATCCCTTTGCAGTTGTCTGGGGTCTTCCCCAATCACCATCAGTTGTCAAAGATAAAGGCCAATGTCTCTGCAGTGACATGAGCCAACTCCCTCAGCACCGTCCAAGGCATTAAATCTGGCCCCGTGGATTTGTGTATGTCCAGCTTAACCCGTTCTTTCTCCACTGAGAGCTGCCCAGTGCAACAATCTGGGAGCTGAACTTGCCTTGGTAGATTGATGTAAAAAAGTATTAAGTACTTGAGCTTTTCCCACATCATCTATCACCAGGTTACCTCCCTCATCCAGTAGGGACTCCACATCCTCTCTGATCACCCTCTTATTGCTAACATGCCTGGAGAAACCTTCCTTGCTCCCCTGCACATCCCTTGCCAGCTGCAATTCCAGTGGTACGTTGGCCTTTGATTACATCCCTACATGCTCAAGCAATATATTTCTACTCCTCCATAGTTCATCTCTCCAAGTTTCCACTTCTTGTCAACTTCCTCTTGTGTTGTTTTTCTTACTGCTCATTGGAATGGTTTGTCCCTGAAACTTCAATAAGGCTCCTTTAAAATTCTGACAGATTCATGGACTTCTTCCCCCCGTCATTTTAGCCTCTCAGGGGATCCTATACATCAGTTCCCTTAGGGAGACAAAGTTTACTTTTCTGTAGTCCAGCGTCTGAATTTTTCTGCTCTCTTTTCTCAACCATCTCATGATCCCTCCTCCCCCACTTGCCACCAAAATCTACTTCCCCTACCAGTTTCTCCCTGTTTGTGAACAGCAGGTTGAGCAAACACATGCTCTGCTCTTACCGGCCCAGCACGTACTTCCAACAGCCATGGGAGGGCTGTGCGTTGGAGCTGCCTTACCCCCACCCAGCAGCCTCTCCAACCATCCATTTCTGAGTTTCTTCACAGAGTAATGGTGTCTTCTTTTCACTTCTTTGTAAGATCCTTGGTGTAGGGGCTGTTTCTCCCTCTATGTTTGGGAATGGCCCGGCCCAAGAGGTCCTCAACTGGAGCAGGATCTCTGGAGGGTTCCACCAGACAATGACCAGAAATAATCAACCCAACAATCCAGCTAAATCCAGGCCTAGCACCACCCTGTTAGATATATCTAGAGATGAAGATCAAACCATGCTTGTCAGCTACTGAGTGTTAAGAACTTCAGTGCTGATGGACACGGCTCCCCTGTTTAAATGAGACACAAAAAATGGATTCAGTCTCATTCCAGGGCTTAAATACTGAGGTGCTTCTGCACCAGATAAATATCCCATTTAGCCAGAGGGGCAGGCAAGAGATCCAGCTTTGGGGATCCAAGCAACCTCCAGCTGGGGCAGGGCTGCAAAGTCTGATTCAGCCTGGAACATCCGATTCCAGTTCCCCGTTGGAGGCACTGGGAGGAAATGAACAACTGTCCAATGCAAACACTATTCTGGTCTCTAGTCTTCCTATAGGGCCCTCCTTGTTGCAGGACAATTTGGGGGAAGAGGAAGGTCTCTATCCCCAGGATAGGCCCCCCCCAGCTTCACCCCATCTATAGGAACACACTCTTTGTGTGGCTTTTACTAAGTCAGTTGCCCCAGAGACACCCCAGGGATTGCGATGGTTTGGAAGGTCTCTCAGTGTGTGTGTCTACACAACGGAGAAGCTGACACCGATACAGTCGCTCTTCCAGGGTTTGAATTAGCGGGTCAGATGAAGACCTGCTAATTCAAACTTAGAGGATGCTCCCATCGACACCGGTAACACCCCCAAGGAGTGAGGAAGTCTACAGGACAGTCAGCCCCATCGACCACCCATTGTGTGCATTGTGCTGAAACCTTATTAAGAGGTTTGACTCTAGCTCCATAATTAAAGTAAATGGAGTTATGTATCTGCAATACTCTCTCCCATTTACTGTGGACTAGGCCGGAGGGAGCAGAACTGGCATCCTGGAGTTCACCCCTCCCGACAACAGGGAGCGCACACACGCCAGCGAGTTCTGAGACCCTAGACTCAGCTTGAGAGGATGGAGAAGGCTCAGCTTCTCTCTTCCAGCCTTTCCACTCAATGAATAGCCCCTGCTATGGAGGAATTGTGGTTACTGCAGGACTCCTGGGTGTCTCTCTCTTGTTGCCCCTCAAGCTGTCTGACCTCGGCCTATTCATGTCTCCCTGCTTCACTGCATTATGGGTTTCTGCTCACAGTGACTTTCCTTTGCAAGGTCTTGTCAATGCCCTTCAGAGGAAGGTGCTGCACAATGTAGCGATAATTACTGGTGATAATTATTGATCTCTCACCCCTTAGTGACAGCCCCGTGTGCCTGCAGAAAGTGTTAAGTGTCTGTCCTTAGTCACCTTTCTCTAGATCGATCTCTTTCCATGTTGAGCACTTATAGCATATTAGAACCTGAGGAGACATAGACATTATCCCTCCTTTCCTTCCTATTCAACTATAATTTTTAAATATACACAAACACACAAAGCAGCCAATTCCTCCCTGACTCAGCCCAGAGCCCAGGATTTCTCATCTCCCTTTGGGAAGGACCCTTAATTGCTGTTTACTCCTACTGCTGAATAAATAGCCCAGAGGCCCAGAAAGGCTAGTCTCTAATCTTCTTGGATCCAGATGTTCACTCATTCTCTATGGGATGAGTGAATCCCACTGGGATTGCCCAGAGCCATATTATTAATGGTGCACAGCCCTGGGCCAGCTCTTGGCATAGGATGCTGGGATGAGAGTGGTGCAGGAAACGGCTACTTGCAGGAGGCTACCAGGAAGACACATCCCTCTCTGAATTCACAGGTACCCATCTCGGACTGAGGAACCCACCTACTCAACAAACCCAGAGCACCACATGATAGAGTAAGTCTGGGATCCTTTCTGCTCTGCACAGCTAGTTAATATCCCCTTGCCATAGGGATAAGTTTGCTCCAGTATCAGTAGGCAAAAGGTGACTCTTCTTCCACATCCCTTCTCAATACCTTACAGCCCCAAGTCATTTCAATGGCACAGGGCAACATTCAGGTCGTATAGAATCATAGAATCCTAGGTCTGGAAGAGACCTCAGGAGTCATCAAGTTCAGCCCCTTGCCCCAAGCAGGACCAACCCCAATTATATCATACCAGCCAGGACTTGAAAACCTCTACAGATGGAAATTCCACAGCCTCCCCATGGAACCCATCCCAGTGCTTCACACCCTCCTAGGGAAATAGTTTTTCCTAATATCGAACTGTGACAGGGCACTTGCCCTGCACTGGCCCTTTAAGGGCAAACCCCAGCCCGGAGCAGGGCCTGGGAGTTTCGCCCCAGCTGAGGCTGCGTTAGATGATTAGGGCCGAGCTAGAAGCTATATAAGAGGATGGGCTACTGCTCCCAGGCAAGAGCAGTGAGAGCCTGGGTGCTGGGAGAGTAGGAGGCTCCCTGGAGCTAGGGCAGGGCTGGGGAGGCAAGGCAGGGCTAGGGGAGCTCTGGCCAAGCAAACCCACAGACTGCAGGGCCAGAAGCACGGCCCCAACAACAACCCCCGGAAGGGGAGCTCAGAGACTAACGTGGGCACTGCCGGAGGACAGTTCCTGAAGAGAATGCCGTGGCCTGGAGGAAAGAGGGGAGACACCACCCGAGGGAAGGCACCCAGCCGGCCAGACGGAGCTAATTCCTAGGACTGATGTCAGGGGGTGCTGTGGTGGTGAATGAACCCCCTCACACCAACCTAGACCTCCCCCACTACAACTTGTGACCATTGTTCGTCGTTCTGCCACCTGGAACCACTGAGAACAATCTCTATCCTTCTTGGATCCCCTCTTCAGATAGTTGCTAGTTGGTATCAAACAACTCTCTCTCTTGTCTTCTGCAAACTAACCTAGTCCAAATACCTCAGACTCCCCTCATATGTCATGGGTTCCAGCCCACCGATAATTTTTATTGCCCTTAACAGGACTTTCTCCAATGTGTCTACATTCTTTCTATAGTGGAGGGTCCAGAATTGGACACAAAACTCCAGATGTGGCCTCACCAGAGCTGAATAAAGGGGAATAATCACTTCTCTAGATCTGCTGGCAATGCTCAGTAGCAGGGCTCAACACATGGCAAGTAGAT